CGGGCCGGGGGTGTGTCGTTTTTGTGTTCAGTGGCGGCCCTCTGCTGTTGTTTGCGTGCCACGGCGTTTGGGTCCGGAGCGCGTTTTGCGTTGATCCGGTTCTGTTCTTCCCGGTTCGCGGGTGATGGTGTCCCGGGTGGTCAGCCGTGTTCTTGCGGCTAAGCTGCCTGTGTTCTTCCCTCATGCCTGTGGCGTTCGTGGCTTCGCTGCTCTCGCTGCCGTCTGGGCGACGTGGCCTTGCAGTCTTTCGGGCATGGATTTTTGGTGTTCGTGCAGGGGCCTTGCTGCTCGTGGTTCTCGTGTTGTTCCCGGGATTTTCGGGGCTGTGGCGCCTTGGGTTGGCGTTTGCTGCCGGTTGTCTCGCCTCCTTGGGGGGTGCGTGGTGTCCGCCTCCCGGTTTTGTCCCTTTGACCTTCCTCTGTGGGTAGTTAGCTCCGGGGAGCCGACGGGGCTCCCCCCAGAAAACCAGCGTTGAATGTAATGAAACGCCATTTTCTGGGTGAGACCCGGAGGCTCCCCGGCAACCCTCCCTCCCTCCGGTCGGCGTTTTTTCGCGTGTTTTGACATCCAGCCTCAGAACTGATGGGTGGATAGCCGGCGTGGGAGGTCTGGGGCTCCCCCTTCCCCCTCCCGGGGAGGGGGGAGCTGCGCAGACAGCGGCGCGGTGACGTATGACGTCATACTAGTTTCCGTGTTTTCTGTTGAAGAGTTCTATTCACTAGTTCGGCTTAGGTAGCAATTTTCACCAGAATAGGGGTTTGTTTTGGAATGCTTACCTTTCTGGATGCTTGACCCGGTCGATGGCAGACATAATTTTAAACATTTTTGGCCAAAACTATGTCTGGTAGCAGCATCAATCGTTCTGGAGGTTGTCCTAGCAATTAAAGACAAGTTACGTGTTGTTCAACAGTGAGGCGTCACAGGCAGCCAAATGCCTTCAACAAGTGAGGCGCAAGCAAGCGCCTTCAACAAGTGATCGAGGCGTTACAGGCAAGCCAAGCGCCTTCAACAAATGAGGTGCCACAGGCAAGCCAAGCGCCTTCAACAAGTGATCGAGGCGTTACAGGCAAGCCAAGCGCCTTCAACAAATGAGGCGCCACAGGCAAGCCAAGCGCCTTCAACAAGTGAGGCGCCACAGGCAAGCCAAGTGCCTTCAGCAAGTGAGGTGCAAGCAAGCACCTTCAACAAGTGATCGAGGCGTTACAGGCAAGCCAAGCGCCTTCAACAAGTGAGGCGCCACAGGCAAGCCAAGCGCCTTCAGCAAGTGAGGCGCCACAGGCAAGCCAAGCGCCTTCAACAAGTGAGGTGCAAGCAAGCGCCTTCAACAAGTGATCGAGGCGTTACAGGCAAGCCAAGCGCCTTCCAACAAGTGAGGCGCCACAGGCAAGCCAAGCGCCTTCAACAAGTGAGGCGCCACAGGCAAGCCAAGCGCCTTCAACAAGTGAGGTGCAAGCAAGCACCTTCAACAAGTGATCGAGGCGTTACAGGCAAGCCAAGCGCCTTCAACAAGTGAGGCGCCACAGGCAAGCCAAGCGCCTTCAGCAAGTGAGGCGCCACAGGCAAGCCAAGCGCCTTCAACAAGTGAGGTGCAAGCAAGCGCCTTCAACAAGTGATCGAGGCGTTACAGGCAAGCCAAGCGCCTTCCAACAAGTGAGGCGCCACAGGCAAGCCAAGAGCCTTCAACAAGTGAGGTGCAAGCAAGCACCTTCAACAAACAAGACGTTACAGACAAGCCAAATGCCTTCAACAAGTGAGGCATCACAGGCAAGCCAAGTGCCTTCAACAAGTGAGGGCATGCAAGCGCTTCAACAAGTGAGGCCTCACAGGCAACCCAAATGCCTTCAACCAGTGAGGCTTCAGCAGCTGGCAGTCAAAACTAACTTTTGCTTAACCCTTAAACTGCGCAACGCGCCTGCAGGCTCACGTCTGGTTTGCGCAACGCGCCTCCGGGTATTTGTATTTTTCACGTTCCATTCAAAACTCCCGCGGCTACATGGGGTTCACATCAGCTTCCTCAGGGCTCTTGTAAACAGACGCCATCTTTAAAAAAAATCGTGGTTCACATTCCCGGGTGTGGGAGCCTCAGTAGTGTGTGAGCAACCAAGGCTGGCGCTCGCAGCATGAGCGCACAGCACTGCTGTTCAGCATGTGACCACAGCATCGCCTAATAATGTCAAAATATATATATAACTTGTATTATTTAGCTATGATAGTGTTATATTAGAGCCTGAGTGTGATAATGACTGGGTACAATGTTCAAATATCAGTGATTCAATGCTGTTCACGATGTTCACAGCGCTAACCACAGCACCACAGCATTATTTCGTTCATCTAGGAATCTTCAAATGATTTCTTAGGTTCCTTTTCAAAATAAACGTGTAGTCAATTATTCATTTACAGGAATTAGGGACCAGGATTGTGATAATAGCAGGATTGTGGTTATAATTAGCGTTGTGCGTAGTATTGTGGAAGGAGGAATTTTGATGAGGGAGGGAGGGCGAGAATTGAGGTAGCCTCATTGTGTGTGTGTGGCTGCCACTCTTGTTTTGCTCACCATACTAGCTTAGTGGTTCACTATGGGCAACACATATGTACATGGGTATATACAGTGTGTGTATATAGTGTAAGAACAGCAACAGGAGAATGTTGAGGAGCTATTTTGGTGAGGGAGGTTACGTAATCGTAGCGTCGTCTGCTGTGTGGTTTTTCATGCAGTGTATGGTGGCCACTGTACTGTTTGGACACAATACCGGCTTACTTGCATAGTTCTGGTAAATAAAACATGTAGATAGGTATATAGAACATGTGTAATAAGAACTATAGCAATATGGTGGGAGGAGCAATGTTGGCGAGTAAGATGTTGGAGTGAGGGAGACTGGCTGGGTGTGGCTGCTCTCACTCGAGGTGTTCTGAATGTGTTCATGGCCAAATGCTCCTATTGGCCCATACGAGGCAGCTCCTATTGGCCCATATGCGGCAGCTGCTATTGGCCCATACGAGGCAGCTGCTATTGGCCCATATGGGGCAGCTGCTATTGGCCCATATGCGGCAGCTGCTATTGGCCCATATGCGGCAGCTGCTATTGGCCCATACGAGGCAGCTGCTATTGGCCCATACGAGGCAGCTGCTATTGGCCCATACGGGGCAGCTGCTATTGGCCCATACGGGGCAGCTGCTATTGGCCCATACGGGGCAGCTGCTATTGGCCCATATGGGGCAGCTGCTATTGGTCCATACGAGGCAGCTGCTATTGGCCCATACGAGGCAGCTGTTATTGGCCCATACGAGGCAGCTGCTATTGGCCCATACAGGGCAGCTGCTATTGGCCCATACGAGGCAGCTGCTATTGGCCCATACGAAGCAGCTGCTACGTGATGTTCTGAATGTGTTGATGGTAAATGTATATAGTGTGTGACAGTGTATAGTGAGTACATATGTTGTAAATATACATAAATGAACATGAAACATTGGTGTGAATAACTGTATGATGGGAGGGGCAAAGTTGGCGAATACAATGTTGGAGAAGTGAGGGAGGGCTGGCTGGGTGTGGCAGCTTTCACTCCCGGTGTTCTGAACGTGTTGATGGTGAATGTATATGACAGTGTGTGTGTGACAGTGTATAGTGTGTAAATAGATTGTATATATACACAAATTAGCATGATACATAGTAAATATGTGCTGCATATGTGTACACAAGTTTCATGCACGTAACAGTGTCTACAGACAGTACGGATGTTGAACTGCGATATTATAGTGTACGTGTTCATTATACATTGGATTGGCACATAAAAACAATGAAAATGTATTTGGAAAGGTGCGCAAAAAATGAACGAAAATATATTCGCGGCAACTCGCGCGCCCGCCCCGAGCGCCCCACCGCCCCCGAGAGCTTATGGCACGGGCGCACGGGGAATGATGGCGTCACGCTTCAACTTTCGGACTCCATAGCAGCCAAAGTAAGTACAATTTCGACTTTTTTTTTACATACCCATACTGAGGGAAGGGTTTTTGACACTTTAAAAAGAAAAAATTTTTTTTTTCCAGAGAATTTATTTCCTGCGCACTGCGGGGGTGTCACATTTGGAGGCAACACAGTTAAGGGGTTTATGAACTGTACAGTAATTTTAAGTGTTAATTTTAGTGTTGTATTAGTATAGGTTAGGTAAATTGTTAAGAATTCTTAACTTCAAGATGTGTGGCATCAATCAAGAAGACGAACACCAACAAGGTAAGTTGAGGTTTCTAGTTGAATATTTAATAATTATATGTGGCAAGGCAATTTAAATTGTGTTGTTTGTAGTATAAAAATAGTAGGAAATGGTCACTTTTGGACTCGTAGGTGAAAAAGTACCATTATCCGAAAAATGTGATAATCCGGCTGGGGGTCCTTCCCATATAGTCCAGATGATCGAGTGGAGACAGTACTTTAAATGTAAAGTGCTCATAGGCTATTGTGCCCTGCTATGGGGGGACCAGGTTCTGGCTCGTGGTTTCCAGTAGGCAAAAGAACTCCGGTGACTTATGACCCCGAACTAATATAGCACATATCAGTTCGGATAGCTTCAGGGGCTCCCCCACAAAAAAGAGGGCTATGTATTATGGTATGTGTATATCAGGACAGGGCAGAGATAAGTCCTTAAGTTTTTTCAGGCATGAAAAGATTAAAGAGAAGACTGGGCCATAGCAAAATAAGATAGGTCAGGTAACTGATTATGACAGAAATTGGTGGCATTCCTTGTCCTTGTCACACTTCTGGTTGAAGACCCAGATTTTCTGGATAATCTGAAATTTTGCTCTCCTAATGTACTGTGCTCCACATTCTTCAATGTAATCCTTTATGAATTTAATAATTTTGATATCAAACATCTTATGTCTCTCTGCTCTCATTTTGGCATGTGAATAATATTTAGGAACTCAGGAATATTTTGTGATATATTGCTATACCATATAGCCATCCTGACTTGGTACTTTTTGATTATTGCTTTGCTTCTTTCTTATAGATGATGTGGAATTGACAAAGCAACTTATGAAACAAACTGCACGTCATGTATCTTGTGACATCTTAAGTGAGAGGCCGTCAAATGCTACCGGTGAGAATTAATTATTTTGTAAAATAATTACAGAATAATTATGTTTCTGTATTCCAATTTTCATTGGGATTGCTTAATTTTGTATTTTTCTTAATTTTGGACAATAGCATTGTTCATCTGGGAAACGTGTGCTTCAAGTGGAAATTACTTTTTGTTCATCTGATAATACAGCAGAAACTTCTGTAATGCCACAGTGTTCACTTCCAGAGCAACCTTTCTAATCCATAGTTTTGATTCATTGGTATACAAAATTGTGAAATCTTTCAAAGTTGGGAGTTTTATAAATTGATATTAACACTTTTCTGTTTCGATCTGTCGGTGTGTTTCAAATCACAAACATTTTGAGCATCTGGAGGTCCAGCTTAGTGACACCTAAGATGTTTATATTCTTTTCCTTTTGCCCCCATGTGGCTCTCTAAAGCTGTCTTGTTGAGATGGCTCCCAACTAATAGATTGCATCGGCTGCGGAATCCAGTTCTGCCAACTGGAGACCAGAGCAAAGACATTCTCCCTCCCCCACTTCACAAGAGGAGGTGAAACACTATCACATCACCTGGGAAGGCACCCCCCCAGAAAGTAAGCAAACCAGTACAAACCACTGGTGGATTCAAGAGAGACTGAAGCCTCATAATCCACCAAATGCATTTCCCCAACAATGTAAACAAACAATCGAATCTCTTGAAAAAAAGCATTCGCCCCACCCCTCCCTCTTGTTTGGGGTTGGAAGAGGGTCAGAGCTCACACTGTCCACTGGCTCGAACAGTCAATTATTACCATGATGTGGCTCATGTTACACGCCTCCGGTAGGGCTGGTTCTGAGGTTTTTCTGATAAGGCCGCTTTGGACCTTGTCTTATGTGGTTTGGTTTTTGTACACTGCTGGTGTAGCATGGGCCTAACCTTCTGGAGTGCTTAGAGCTGCATGTGCTCAGGGTTTCCTTCCTTGAGTGCTCACTAGCACTGCCCCTGCACTGACAGGATTCTCTTCTATGGTGTGTTCAGTGGGAGCCTGCTCTCATTGAGCGAACTCTTCCTGCTTGAGGTTGTCCTCGCCTTGGGTGAGTCAGAGGTCTCATTGCCACTGTCTTGACATGGGTGTGGGAGTGAGTGCTGGCTGGTGATGTACTGGTGGCTCACATGCTTGTTTGTATGGCGTGCAGAGGTTGTCCTTCACAGCTGTGTAGCCCAGGCCCCAGGTAACTCGGCGATTGCTCGAGCAGCTGTGCAGGACCCTCAACTTTACTGTCCTTGGTTAGGCTTTGAAGGCTGTTTTAGTTTCTTTGGGGCAGCCCCTTTTTGTTGCTGTCACGATCGTTGGGTGCAGAATATGTTAGCTGTTTGCCAGTTGCTGCATTACCCATTTCCTTTTCTGCCTTTATGTGGTTAGGTTTCCTGGCACTATTCTCTGCCCTCACTCAACGTCTTCACTGACACCTCAGCTTTTGGTTGGGGGTTTGGGACCAGCACTTACCAGGCTATCCAAGATCATTGGTCTCCACTCCTTTGTCAGGTGCACAGTACAGTGTGGGAGTTTGTGACCTTGCAGCATGTGCTGCGGGGTGTTCAAATTACTCCGGACTGTTATCTGACTCCATTTGGACTGTTCCGCCCATAATATCAATTGGGGGGTTCACTTTGGTCCCTGTCTCATTGGAGCTGGTCACTTTGTGTAGCTCGTCTGCTGGGTTTTCAGGGTTTGGTTCTTTATGCTGTACATGTTCAGAGAGAATCCAACATCGCCCACCCAAGGTCTGTCTCTGTTCCTTACTGTTTCTACAGAGTGGACTGTCGCTGCTGCCTCCTAACTAGTTTTGTGGGACGTTTAGGGCTCCAGACATGAACCTCTTTATGTTGGCATGGTCCTGGCACCTTCCTTTGTACATAGTGCCATTTCCTGATTGCGAGGCCCTCGTAGTAGATGTCTTTCAGCTGGACTGGTCGAGGTGGAGATTCCTGTACCTCTTCCCTTCCCTGATCTGCCTATTACTCCAGGTCGTGGTGTGAATGTAGTTCTACAGGGGAGAGTGATCCTTATGACTCCTTGGCGGCTTGCCCTGCCTTAATTTCAGGCACTGCATGCTCAGTGTCTGAACCCAAGCATTTTTCTGCTGCTCCACCTCTATAAGAGTGTCACGGCCCTCTCGGGTCGCAACTGGGTTCTTACTCTGATGTTGTTAGAGGAAGGGTATCCGGCCCCAAGCCAGTAGTGGCTTTCAAGGGATGTGATCAGTAACGCAAGTAAACTAAAAGGGGAAGGGAAAGAAAGGCAAAAACTTAATATAATGTAATAACCGCCACCAATAAATAATATATAAAAAGATTACACGGGGGAAGGGGTATAAACACTTATTTACACTGTCGTCTTCTTCTGAAGACTCTGGATCCTCTCGGTGCCAAGCTCTCGGTGCTCTCGTGGCCTCTCGACGAATCCTTCGGGAAGCTGAGTCTACCCCGGCCACAGGCCAGCCAAAACACAGTTCCACTGGGGGCACCGCCGTGGAGGCCGTCAACCACAAGTCCAGCAGACTGCTGGCAGGTTCCGGATCAGCAACGCTGTTCAGGCCACTCCACGAGCGATACTAGGGTAGCGCTCTAGTCAGGAGCCTCGTGTGATACCACAGATCACTCTCCTGTCCACAATACCCCAGTGGTCAATCGTCTCCACCAGTTGGTCCCGGGTACGACAATCCTTCAACTGCCACTTCACTGGCAGAGTAACACCACAGTGTTCCTCCGGGAGGCGACTCACAGCTGCTGCAGCAAAGCACTTGGTATGGGGACGGCTGCCTTGGGTAGACTGATCCAACTTCCATTACAGCAGTCCCAGGTCGACTCTGTAATCAGACACGTCATCAGTAACAGGGACACACTAAAGCACCTCACTTACAGGCTCAGACCCAAACGCCCACCTATCCACTTCATAGATGGCGTTGTCGTCTGAGCACCACCTCACCAGAGGTCAGCAACGGCTGTGTTGTGAGCTGAACAGGACTGGAAACTGGCCCTCGTAGCCAGTACGCCTCGTCCTCACCAGGTGTCGTCGTCCATTTGGAGGGGGTTTCGGGAGCTGACCCACAGATGGCGCGGTCGTCACTGCTCCGTGCTCGGACGTCGGGCTCGGGTCCGTAACACCTCCCCACCAAAAAGAATTTGGTTTGGGGTTCTATAAAGAGAAACACAAACCAAATTAGGACGGTGACACAACTCCAAATGGACTCACTTACACTATGAACTGGAGTGATGAGGCTGTCTTGTCCACAGAACTGTTCTACTGGACAACTCTCGCACAAAGGGAACTTGAAGATGGAAGGCAATGACCTGCCTGATGTAATCGTGCACATCTCCACTGCGATGTCAGGCAGGGGCATAATCTCACATCTCTCGTGTAAGGGTCGGTATAGACACGATCTGGGGCGACTCGACACTTCCCTGTGTCGGGGCACCGAGGATGGCTGGTCACCGACGGCATTTCTGGTGCCGGTCCGGTAGTCCTTCAGGGAGACGGGAACCTGGAATACAGGGGGCTGATAATTCAGAGTGACAGCGACAGTGGGCAAGTCAATACTTACTGCATACGCCTCTACTAGGCTCACACCTAGTTCCAACAGGGCTGCTTGCACACCGAAGATGGCTTTCGCTCTGTCACCGTCCGGTCGACCAACGTTCCGTATAACGCTGCATTTAGGCTCAGCTAACACGCGGGGGGTGTCAACCTGTCAGAAACAGTCACTCACATTATCATATGTCGTACCTCCTGTATCAACCATCACCTTCCAGGTTCCTTCTTCGACTGCAACACTCACTGTGCACGTCTCCAATCCCTGGGATCTCTTCGCGATGTTCATGGGAGCCATCATCTGTCGGATCGTCCACTGGTCCTTACTGAGAACACACACAAGAAACCAAAATACCGCTAAGAAACATTTGGTCAACTGAGGGGTAAGCTTCTTGAGCCTGTCATGTCCATAGCCGGCTACATCCATTAGCCTGGTTTGGACCGAAGAGGGCTCTAGACTTTTCGAACACACCTCACATACCTCTGACGTCTGGGGAATCTCTGGCCGGTTCAATGAACGCTGTACCTTGCCATACCGCAAGTACACATCCGCCTTCGCTCCAGACTCGTTGGTATCCGTGGGTGCTTGCACACAAGACCTCTCTTCTTGCTCAGTTGCTTCTGCTATCGTAACCACATGTTCCTTGTCGGGAGAAGAGTCAGGAGACACCGCTAGAAAACTGTAGACTCTGTCGTCAATCTGTAGGCGAGAGGAAGGATTAAACATACAGTGGTACCTCGGAATGCGAGTGTCCCTGTATGCGAGTTTTTCGGAAGACGAGCAGGATTTACTCCAAAAATATGTCTCGGAAGGCGAGGGTTACCTCGGGACGCGAGTTTGTTGATACGTGTACAGGCCGACTGGCGCGTGGTGGCATGGCGATCGCGCCTCAGTTTACCAGTGTCTCGTGTCCAGTGACTATCCCACCTGAATTCTTCACAAGGATTTACAGTTTTTTATCGTTTTTTTGGCCTTTTGAGCTTAAATTGGTCATTATATATCTTGCCATGGGTCTCAAGAAAGCCATTGGTAAGGTTCAACCTAAGAAAATAGCTGTGAGTAGAGACAGTAGAGGATGTCCCTTCCTGATTAAGAAAATGTGTGAAGTATGGGAAGAACTGCAAAGTTTTGTTGAAAAAACTCACCCAGATAAAGCTGTAGCAGGCCGTTGCATTGACCTTTTAAATGATAATGTGATGTTTTACTACAGACAAGTGTTAAAATGTAGGGAAAAACAAGTGTCATTAGACAAATTCTTAGTAAAACAAGCAAGTCCTAGTGGTATGAAGGCAAAATGTACCAGAGTGTGCATACCAGTGAAGTCCTCACTGCCTGATGTGATAATGGAAGGGATAATAATATCCCTAATGTGATAATGTAATAATAATAATAATAATGTTTGGATTATCACATAATAATAATGTGATAATCCAAACAGTAACTC